ATACAGTTTTCCCAGAACAAACATCCTGTACTATCTGTTATGGATGCCCGTCATATTTCTGTCTTCTCGACTCTTGATTTGCTACTTTCCAGTAGTATTCTTACTTTGTCAAAGCCTTCTTTGTTAAGGCTGTCATTCCAGCTCTTCATGAACTCTCCAGGGAATTTGTCTTTGCTGAACACTCCAATCTTCTTGCCATTCTTGCTTTCTTTAATGGCTTCAATCATTTTGTCAAAGCTGCTCTTATTACTTTCATTCTGTCAGTGCCATAAGGAAAAAAAGGAGTCTGTTAATTAGCTTTAGAATTAGACATGTTTTAGTAGTAACAGACAGAGGAATATTCTAAATTACGGAAAAAATAAATTCTCCTCCCATCCCCACCTACTTTTTATTTTATTTTTTAAAGAGACAGGGTCTTGCTTTACTACCCAGGCTAGAGCCCAGTGGTGTGATCACAGCTCACTGCAACCTCGAACTTCCAGGTTCAAGCAATCCTCCTGCCTCAGCCTCCTAAGTAGCTGGGACTACAGGTACATGACACCATGCCTGGATAATTTTTTTTTTTGAGATGGAGTCTTGCTCTGTCGCCATGCTGGAGTATAGTGGTGCAACTCACTGCAACCTTAGCCACCCACGTTCAAGTGATTCTCATGCCTCAGCCTCCCGAGTAGCTGGGATTATAGGCATGTGACACTATGTCCAGCTAAATTTTTCATGTTTTTAGTTAAGATGGGGTTCTGCTATCTTGCCCAGGCTGGTCTTGAATTCCTGACCTCAAGTGATCCATGCACCTCAGTCTCCCAAAGTGCTGGGATTATAGGCATCAGCCACTGCACCCTAGATAAATTTTGTATTTTTTGTAGAGATGGGGTTTTGTCATGTTGCCAGGCTAATCTGGAACTCCTGGGCTCACGTGATCTACCCACCTCAGCCTCCTAAAGTGTTGGGATTATAGGCGTGAGCCACCATACCTGGCCCACCTGTAAGATGCCTTCCCATCTTTAAGGAAGATTATAACATACCAAAAGTGAGCAAAACATTTCTTTAGATATTTTTATATGCTCAGGTGAAAGTGTTGCCCTGAGTTGACCAGACTATTCCTTTTTTTTTAAGAGAAAGAGTCTCATGTTGCCAAAGCTGGTCTCAAACACCTGGGCTCAAGCAATCCTCCCACCTCGGACTCCTGAGTAGCTGAACTACAGATGTGTGCCACTATGCCCGACAACTATTCCTTTCCTTCAGGAACGGTTAAGAAACTCAAACACATAAGTGAACAATATTCTGAGAAAACACCCTATGTTAGGTGAGCAGTATGACAAAAAAGATCACATTTGATAAAAATTGGAAATGACTGACAGTGTCCCCAAGAATGGAGACCTAAAGTCAGTGTTCACCAGAATTTCACAGCCCATTTGTTCTGCTGCAGAACTGATAGGATTACTGAATTATTTTCTTCCCAACAGTGAAGACATGACAGAACTGTGTAATTACAACCACAGCCACCTATAATTTCCCCTGTGCATTCTTTCAAACTCCTACAAGGCATTTCTGTTAATCACTTTTAAAGGTTCTTTCACATTTATGACACTTTCTTTATTAATCCTGACCTTTTCTCGTATTAGCAGTGTGATGGCAGGGGCTCCATTAGCGTTCTCATTGCCCTTAGTATTGGCAATCTGTTTCAAGAACTCCACTTTTTTCTTGCTGGCCATAAAGATGATTTTGTCATCACAGAAGACCATGATAGTATCAGTGAGTTCATAACCAAAGAGCCATGTCTACGGGAAAAGACAACAGTGACAACAGTATTTACAGAGAGAAAAATTAATGAACTCATATATATAGAAATAAATACTTATAGACAAAATGAGATGTCTGAGATTAACTCCAAGGTAATCAGGATGGGGAGCCTGGAGTGGATACAAATTAAGCAAGATCCACCAAGAATTGACAAGGTATTAGAACAGGACAATGGGGTTCAATGTATTATTTTCTCTATTTTCATATGCTTCAACTACCTATAATTAAAACCATCAAATCAGTTGAACGATTTGTGTTTACAGGAACTATATCAATGCTTAGTAAAACAGAAATGCATAAAACAAGGGACAGAGTAATATAGAACTGTGTGTTACTACCTCCTGAAAGATTACCAGTTGCCTACCAATTATTCATTTTTCCTCCTCAAAAAACTGACATTTTTTTTTGAGACGGAGTCTTACTCTGTCGCCCAGGCTGGAGTGCAGTGGCGTGATCTCTGCTCATGGCAACCTCTGCCTCCCAGGTTCAAGTGATTCTCCTGCCTCAGCCCTCTGAGTAGCTGAGATTACGGGCACCTGGCTATTTTTGTATTTTTAGTACAGACAGGGTTTCACCATCTTGGCCAGGATGGTCTCAAACTCCTGACCTCAGGTGATCCGCCTGCCTTGGCCTTCCAAAGTGCTGGGATTACAAGCGTGAGCCACCGCACCCGGCCGGAACTGAGATTTTTAACGGGACATACCACCCAGCATGAAAACTCTATTTCCCATCCTTCCTTACAGCTAAGTATGATCATTACGATCAAATTTTGGTCAATAAGTTAAAAATGGAAGTACTGTGTGGAACTTCAAGCAAGTCTTGTTTTTTTTTTTTGTTTTTTTGAGACAGTGTTTCATTCTTGTTGCCCAGGTTGGAGTGCAATGGCACGATCTTGGCTCATCACAACTTCTGCCTCCTGGGTTTAAGCAATTCTCCTGCCTCGGCCTCCTAAGTAGCTGAGATTATAGGCATATGCCACCACGCCCAGCTAATTTTTGTATTTTTAGCAGAGACAGGGTTTTTCCATGTTGGTCAGGCTGGTCACAAACTCCCAACCTCAGGTGATCTACCAGCCTTAGCCTCCGAAAGTGCTGGGACTACAGGAGTAAGTTACTGCGCCTGGTGTAAGTCTTCTTAAAAAGGAAAGGTGAACTCTCATTTTCTTCCCTGTATCTTTTTGCTTGGAATGTAGAAACACCTGCGGTTCTTTTTTTTTTTTTTTTTTTGAGACGGAGTTTCACTCTTGTTACCCAGGCTGGAGTGCAATGGCGCGATCTCGGCTCACCGCAACCTCCGCCTCCTGGGTTCAGGCAATTGTCCTGCCTCAACCTCCTGAGTAGCTGAGATTACAGGCACACGCCACCATGCCCAGCTAATGTTTTGTATGTAATTTTAGTAGTGACGGGGTTTCACCATGTTGACCAGGATGGTCTCAATCTCTTGACCTCGTGATCCACCCGCCTCGGCCTCCCAAAGTGCTGGGATTACAGGCTTGAGCCACTGTGCCTGGCAACACCTGCAGATCTAAAGCCACTTTGCACCATGTGCAAGAGAGCTACGTTCTATGGGTGGCAGAACAGAGAAGTGGAAAAAGCCTGGGTCCCTGAAGACTACACATAAGGAAAAGAATATTCTGTTTAACTCACTGTTACTTAGGTTTTTGTTACATGCAGCTAAACCCGTATTAATTAATATTAATACTTCCTTTTCCTTATGTCCTAAATCAGTGCTAAATCCAACTGAACTTTATGTGATGGTGAAAATACCATTTATCTGCTCTGTCCAATATGGTAGCCACTACTGAGTACCAGAAACATAGCGGGTGGGACTGAGAAATTCAAATTTTAAAAATAGAAACAGGGTCTCACTATGTTGCCCAGGCTGGAGTGCAATGGCACAACCCTGGCTTACTGCAACCTCTACCTCCTGGGCTCATGCCATCCTCCCATCTCAGCCTCCTGAGTAGCCAAGACTACAGGTGCGCACTATCACACCTGGCTAATTTTTTTGTATTTCTTGTAAAGGCAGGGTTTTGCCATGTTGCCCAGGCTGGTCTTGAACTCCTGGGCTCAGGCAATCCACCTGCCTCGGCCTCACAAAGTACTGGGATTATAGGCATAAGCTAGTGCGCCCGCCCAGCCAGAAATTGAATTTCTAATGTGGTTACCACACTGAACAGTGCAGTAGATAATACAACAACTCCAAGGGCTAAAAATTGCTGTAAATTTCTCACCTGTAAGGCAGTTGATTTGGCATAAACAATTTCTTCATCCACACCCACTGATACAACAATGGCATCAACGTTGGCATACTCATCTTCTCCTTTCTGAAAAGAGTGGGTAATCGTTACTTAATTTTTACACTAGCAAAACAGGAATACATAGTTCAATGTTTACCTAAGATATGCATAATATTTTCCTGATAGAAATTTCAAGTTTAAGGTACATGCCTGCTTGGCAGTCTCACAGCTATTCTATTTTTTGTTTTTATAGTATTTATTATTGATAAATATCAAAAGAAATTATTCTTTAGTCCCAGATCTGTGTTTCACAGTTCAGTAACACAGCTCAGTGACAAACTTCCCATGTAATTAAAGGAAATTTTTTATTTGTAA